CTGTTGCTCCTTTGGTGGTTAGATTTAGGTTACCAGAGCTGGATTAGCTCTCTCTTTTCTGCAAACGGCAGTTTGACGAAACACTGCGTTCAACTCGGTTTGAATTGCAGGACAAGACAGCCACTACAATCAGCTCCCTCTGAATCGTAGGAAAAGGATGGGCACTATGATCAGGTTGAATGGGAAGTTCTTTTTCTAAACTCCATTGGAGGGGTTTGTCTTCAGAGGGGTGTCGTTCCGGTTACGTCACTGACATTTGATCGTAGTGGAGATGAATCTCTTTCTCAGTGCGAAGCTCAAACGATCTCTTGGGGAAAATGGATCCAAACCTCCTGTTTGAACCCCAGCTCAGTTTGTAGCTCAGTTGATCCTTCCAGGGAGAGAAGGTCCGAAAAAATCCAGTTTGCAGGATGACTTCCTGCCGAGAGGCAAAGACAAAACTCAGGTAGACAAAAACTCAGTTTGACTCAGCAAAACTCAGCTTGTCTAGAGTACCCAAAACTGGCAAACACTCTGGCGTCGAGGTAGTGGCAGTCAGCAGCTTAAGACGCTCCGTTAACGAGGAAACCATCAGCAGGTGTGTGAGGAGGCAGACCAGAGCCAAGCACCTCCTGGTGGGGGAAAGGAGGCAAACACAGAAACACAAACACACAGACAGGAGTCCTGACAGAACCTGGGTTGAAGCGGGCCGAAGAGCAGGCTTGAATTGGTGGCCAAAGCAGCGAAACAAAGTCTGGCAAAGGGAAGCCAAGAAAACCAGGAGACAAACAAAACATATTGGACAGGGAGGCAGGGAAACAACACTGGATATTTATTCTCTCTGAAACTTTAGATTATATGGGAAATCTTGCAGGCCAGAGTATAGAATATCCTCCTGAGACAGAATATTTATTTGTGTCCATTATAGTGAATATCTTGTTCACCCTAATCTTCTTTTACTGTTTAGAATTAACTCATCAAGCCTTACTGTACTCTCTAGAGGACATCTTGGCCTTTCCAGTGATGTATCATTTCAAAGGTGTACATTCTGGAAACCCCCTTTTATGTCAAATAATTTCCCTTTTGTTTTTGTATGCAGGATAATTATACATATACACTTGTTAATTAAAACATCAACAACAGTATTTTGACTTCTTGAAAAATGTTTAAATATTTCGCTATTAAAATAATAGCCCTTTTTTTGTCTACGAACTGTCCGGTGTGTTGTTTGGTCTTCATCTTCTTATTTGCTCACAGATGTTCTCTAACTATTTGAAGGAAAAGTTATGAGGATTTATGCTTCATCGTGGCTGTTTTTATAATAACGAAATGCTTAATAACAGTCTAAGGTAGATGATCGTTGTTAATGTGCTGTGATAGAGTTTCACTAAAAATAGGACATCTACCTGAGGGGATTCCGCGACATCTACTTTGTCTGGCTTTTGAAAAATGGTACAGATAGCAAAAACCACTATACTCTGCACAGTTGGCCTCTTAAAACAGCAATTTTAATGCTCTGGCTATCTGGCTATTTAAAGCATAGAGCTAATGATGAGCATCTTGTATAGTTAAATTATGTTGGGCAGAGCAGATATATTATTTATATAACACATTTGTTGTCCAAAAATCTGGTTTTTGTATAGTAGATCAGAATCCTCATCTTATCCATCGAAGCTGTACAAATAATATACCTATTGTTTCAGTTACCTTGTGGGAAAATCCAAACCATTTAAATGTTAAACTATTAAAACAAGACAACTGTCAAGAGATTTAAATAGAATACTAAATAATTGAAGCATTTCTCAGTACAGGAAAATAATCTTACATGTTCTCTGCTCTGAGTGGCACTTTAAAAATGTATTAAGAACCAGAGGTGAGAGGGGAAGTAAGAATAGCACCACTTGAAGGTTTTTGCTCTCTAGTTGAAGTAAAAATAGTCATAAAAAGTATTACTGAAATAGCAGTAAAAGGTCTGTTAGAACTTTTACTCACCTATTGAGTGTCTGATTAAAACAGGGGTTCCAAAACATTTCACGTAATCTTCAAAAACTATATAATCAACTGGTGAGCCCCTAAATGTACGTAATTGCTTTACTCTATTTTTATTTATACATATCATAGGGACTGGTTTACGCCAGTTGTGTTAAAAGAAGTTTGGTTTTAATTTAAACGTAGGCGTTGGAGTTAAGCATTTTTTTATTTAAACGTATTTCTTTCTCAATTCAGAGAGGGAATAATGTTAGTTAAATCACCATAAGGATATTTCCCTGAAGCAAAAAATTAAAGGTGCTTTTTAGTTGCTTCTTACAGAAGATTATTTTTCCAAAAACTTAAGTAAATATCACTAAATATATGTTAATTATAGTCGCTACTATCGATACCTAATAAAGACACAGCAGTAGCATCATTTTACTTGTAATTGGTTCTATGTGGCTACACAATTCTATGGTGAAGTCCAGTGTAAACTTTCCACAGTTACAAAGGATTTGGAGCCCATGCTGGTGTCAAATGTATACTCTGTAATCCATAGTCAACGTGGGCATCTACCATAAAATTTAGGATGCTTTATGGTTCCTTCTACTAATAAATGTAATGGAGATGATGGTTTTACTTTCTCATAGGATTTGGCACCTGACTACATCTGCCAGTTATTGTACTTTTTTCCTCTTTAAAAGATGCACAGATTTCATGCTAGAAGTTAAAGAAAGCAACAAATTCATTAACTTGTGGCGCAAAATTTATAAAACTAATCTATCAGACTCTCAGGATATTTAGTACAGTTGTAGGGAATGCTTAGGATGCCCTATGATCACCTACAGATAATTACGCATAGCAGTATAAATAGCCATAAAGTTGGCAAATGCCTGAAGGTGGCAAATGTCATTAACTTGGCAGGAGTTAAATTCTGTTTCTTTGCTGAAAGTAAATAAAATTTTGCAATATAATATTAAGTGACATGTCATCATCAACCACAGTGGATATACTGCCTTTTTTCAAGTTGACATTTATTCTCAGATCAAAGGAGAACTGCAGCAGTCAGTTACCTCTGAAATATCAGGTTGCAAAGAACTCCTGCATAGTGAGAGTTTGAACTGGCACCAGCAGCAAGGTTTCTCGTTGTTTTCCTCTTTAGCACCTGGGTCCGGTCCTGTACAGAGCTCCGAATAAGCCCCGTCTAAGCTAGTTATTAAGCCAAGTATCTTCTTGTGCTAGAAGACTTGTACCATTTCTTAAAAATACTCTGAATTTCAACTAGTATACACCACTTGAAAAAAAAACACACAAAAAAAAACAATAATTTACTGCAAAATTATTTCAAATGTGAACTATTTCAAAATGATTTAGCACTGGAAGTGAACACAAAATTAGTTTTAGTTGATTGTTTCAACACCTGGTTTTTGTGTAATATACTTTTCATGTATGAAAGTAAATATGAATATTTTTTTCTATTAAATTTAATTATTGCCAGTTATTCAAGCTGTTCTAATAAATTTGTGGCAACATTTTTTTCATTTGTTTGGAGCATCCCTTTGTCCGTGGTAAAATGCAGTCTTGCCCATGACCTCACATAAAGAGACCTCCAGCTCAGGGGCTCCCAAATATTTTTAGCCCCTGACCCCAAAAGTTATGCAACAGACTGGAACCCCCCCTCCCACCAAATACATGTAATTACAATACTCTATTTGTATTTTTATACATTTAACATAATGTTCTATTCATTTTTTATATTTCATTATTTAATGTATCATTTCAAATGTATTCTAATGATTTACAATGAAATTGATTATATAATGCTGCATTTAGTGGTATAATAGTAATTAAAAAATAATTTATATTTAAAAAGGTATTACAATAAATAAAAAATAAACAAATAAGTTAATAAATACTTTTTCTTAATTCATGGTATATCTATCTTTTTTTTTACAGGAACTTCACATTTTTGTATTTCCTAATATATATTTGTCTCCATATACTTCATGTATATGGTATGTAATATTCCCCTGGGGTCCAAACCTCTACTTTGAAAAGCCCTGGTCTACCTGACGATCTCAATCTAACCAGTCAGAATCAGCTTTTCCTTAAATCTTTAATAGCCATGTTGTGCTTGGTTGCAAATGCAATGTTCCCTATTTACCATGTGTGATTGGTAATTGTTTTTTCAATAATTTTAAACTATCTAATAAGATATTTAGCAAACACTGGAAAATAAACACAATTTCCCCACTGTGGGACAATAAAGGGATTTTCTATTCTATTCTATTCTATTCTATTCTAAAATATCTTATATCCTGCAAGTCCATTTAGAAATTACATATATGAACAGTTCCACCTCATTTCATAGACTTTGCTCACAATACCTTGAGTTGCCAATAGCTCCTAAAGCCAAAGAGGTTCTTTTTTAAAACCTTGAATGGATTTGATCAATCCAGTATCTTTGATTAAAAACCAATTGGTATTGAAACTTATGTTTTTAGTGATGCAGTGGAAACTATTAAACTTTTTTTTAATTGTATGTATATTGAGACACTCAGGGTTGATAATTTTGACTGGTTATTTACTAAAATCCCCTCTTGTAAAAATGTTTTCTGATAGACACATAATTTATGGTCTGATTTTGGATAGCCACAAAAATAAATTCCTTGTAAACACTATCATTATTGTGGGGAAGTTCTTAATCCACAAAACTAAATACCTTAAAGTCCAACATAAGTTTTACTGTGTTTCACAACCGTTTTCTGTGACACTATAAGGCCTTTTACCCAACCTGCAGTCAAAATTGTAGCCTTTTATTTTGCCACTTTTCTCCAGTAATAGTATTTGCCTTTTTAAATATTATATACTTTCTGTGCCCTTTGTTAGCACCCTTTTTTTTTTTGCACACTAATCTTATACTTTTGTATTGTGTTTTGTAGTTTATAAAGGAGGAGCTCGTTTAATAAGAAAAAAAAAAAGAACCAACTTTTCTAGTGTTCAGCAGGCTAAGCAGTCGGCGGGGCGTGGTCTTTGTAGTCCTGGCAGACTACGGGCGCGTGCTGTCAGCCTCACCTGGAGATGACCGGGGTAATTAATTTGACACGCGCCCGTTACTTTCACTTTAATGTACCGACTAGACTAAAGTGGCGCTTCTCAGTTTAGTCAATAAGCTCATTAAAACAACAATAACAAAAAAAAGCAAAGGGACTTTAGACGGGGTGTTTTTTGTTTTGTTTTTTATTTTCTTTTGGAAAAAAACGTAATGAAAACTGCAAAGGACGATGGAGAGGTGAGAGGGATGACGACGATTAATTGTTTTATAGAAGGTAAGTGAGTTTCTTTTTTTCCCAGCTTCATTGTGTGGTCGCTTTGTTTTTGTTTTCTATTTTGCTACGTAAACAGTCGAGACTTTCGGTGTGATTATATGACTTAAAACGGTGCAGAATTCATTCTTAATTACCTCTAACGCTGCTGAGTTATTCGGGTTAAGTCCCAGTTAAAATACATCAATCTTTACATTTTGCAACAAATATTTAATGAAAGGTATTTAGGACAATGCGTATGGTGCTGCTGTTTTAGTTTCATTAAGGAAACCATGATATCAAACTAGGGGCAGAGGCGTATCCAGAAAAAATTTATAAACCCAGGCAATAACCAGTATACACTGAGGGGTGGCCAAAAGCGGATAGGTGCCAGAACCTCAGGCTCAATCTACACTGTTCAAAAAGTAAAATGAACAATCACAACATCCATATTTTCTAAATAAAGACAATCTATACTTTCCTACAGCCTTTGCTAACAAACAGATGCATATATTTAAACATTCATGCTGTCTAAATTAAAGGTGTGAACAAAATTGTTTCAGCTTTAGCTCTGGGGCGAACATCTTATTCATTATCATTACTAACCTACTTTTATTAATAATCTTTCAGCATAAAATTTATATTTACATGTTCTAATATCTACATTAAATGGATAACTTAAATATTTAAGTAGTTCTTTATCTCTGATTTCAGTGAAGATTCATAGATGACTTGCAGAGACATAATTTTCTCTTTACCTCATATAACACAAAATCTAGTTCTGAAAAGGTCATGAAGTCTGTATTTATCTTTAATGTTAGTATATTGATGTGCGTGATTAGCCACTGTTTTTTTTGTTGTCAGGTAATTGTTTACATAAATTAAAATGTTAAATAAGTTAGAACATTCCACTTGAGAGTATTACTGCTGCCACCGACTGTATTAAAGGGAAAAAATGGTAAGGGTGGCCGTGGCCCTCCCTGGCCCCCCATCTAGCTACGCCCCTGACTTACGGTAAATTCTTGCTGGCAGAATTAAAAGAAAAAAAGGTCATAATTAGCTGAAGAGTAGGGTGTGTCCAAAAGAATCGGTACAATTAGATGAGGATCCAATTTACAACTGATTATCCTCCAGTTACACATCTCTAACATCCCATTAATTGTCCAAAGTTTGTGTTTTAATGATTAATTTTTATGTAATTGGGCTTCCTTAACCATATGTTGCTATGTTCGATTGTTTTGTGAAAAAAGGCATGACAAAATACAACAAACATTATAAATACCCATAACTAAACTTTAAAATATAGCAAAGACCAAGAGAGCTCAGAATAACTGCTTTAACAGTTTTATATTCTGCAAAAAAGCTGTGACAATTATCAGAAAATTTATATTTCATTCTAACAAAATGTTTGATAAATAAAGTTTGATGAATGTTAAATCTTTTAAGTAGTCCAAAGAAACGAAATTTCAATCAGGGCAAAATTCTTTACTGCAAATATATTTTCATTTTAGAAAACAGAATATTCTACCTTGAATGTTAAAAATATTTTGCTTGAAATAATTTTTAAAGTTAACTTACAAGTAATTTCTAAAATTCCTGATTGAAGCTCAACCTTCTGACTGATCAAGCATTTGTTCGCATTTGAATGGTGAGATTTTAGGCGTATGGGGTCTGATACTCTGAGAATAAGGTATTTAATCCTGGACAGTAGGAAACTGTTCAAACAAATCAAGCAACTAATTTTACAAGTAAAAGGATTTATTTTTGGAATAGGAAAATTATAAAAAAAAACCTATTATATTACAAACTGTAAGTAAAACATTAGAAAACATTAAAATTTGTTTTGTCAAAGTTCTTAGAAAACAAACACATTTTTAAACCTTTTTTTAGTATAGTTGGTTTTAAGGGGGAAAGCACCTAAATTATACTGGTAATCGCTTTAATAAACTAATCACAAACATCCATGTCTGGGGATCCTAGCAAACTGCAGGAAACATACAGAAAAAATGCTTAACATGGCAGAAATTATCTAGTTGAACCTAAAGAGAGCAGAATGCTGATATTTATGTCCTCACTTAATCAACTGAACCATTATTTAAAAAAAAAATGCAAGATTTCTCTGGAAAGTTGGGAGAAACTGAAACAAAGCAGTCAATTTTTCTGATTAATGTGAATTCTTTTTGCCGTTTTGATGCATTAAGAATTAGATTTTAATATTTGGCTCACTTTGTAAAGACATCGCGAGCTTACATTATACAGGGCCAATCCGGCTAACAACTCTGCAGCAGCTCGCTTACCAACAAGGAGGTCGCTCTGACTGATTTAATGGTTGTGATGGGGCGTTGGATGAAGGAGTTTGCCCCGCAACCGGATGGTTGTTGTTTCGAGCCCCGGCTCCGCCTACAGTGTAGTTGTGTCCTTGGGCAAGACACTTTACCCGCATTGCTTACTGATGGTGGTTGCAGGGACTGCAGCCTAGCTTCTTTCGAGCCCCAGGGCAGCTGTGGCTACAATGTGGCTTGCTACTATCAGTGTGTGATTGAAGGGGTGAATGAATAAATGAATGTAGTGTAGAGCACTTTGGTCAAGTCCTTTGACTTGAAAAAGCCCTATATAAGTAGAGGCCATTTTTTAATGTGTACCGTGTGTTCCCAGCAGGAAAGGAATGGGAGCAAAGATGGTCAATGTTTATAAATGAAATGTCTTACCAGGATATCTTCTTTGACACATCAAATATTATTTTTGTGTACCTTCCAAGACCAAGTGCATAGTAAGGTGCAGACATTTGGTCTAGTTACAAACTAGAGGCTGACACCCAATAAAATCGTTTTAATATCTGGGGTTTTTAAATTTGACATTGGAATATTAAATATTGACTCTAGATCTCAATAAATGGGAATCATGATTCTAATGTTGAAATATTTTTTGTCACATTGCTAAAACCTCTGCCAGCTAGAGTCTTGGAATCCTGATGTATGTATTAGGTGACTCAACTTACACTCAACTCACACTCACCTTGTGTGAGCTAACTCTGGATCTCTACTCCTTTGGTCCAAAGATTATTATCTCAGTTTTGTTTTTATTCAGTTGTAGAAAAACGACCAACCCTTAACAATCATAGACAGGTTTCAGGTATTACAGGAGACAATCCCCCCCTTAACGGCAACCCCCCCCCCCCCCTTTAATGACCGACCTTCAGAATCATAGACAGGTTTCAGATATTACAGGCTAACAATGGAACCAAACGACCCATTCATCGGTTATCATTTGCATGTTTTCAAGCGATACAAGGCTTTGTCTGTATAAGACTCAAACTCACTGCAGATCCAGACATTTGAGTTGAGAAAGCTTCCTGGAGAGGTGGAGAAACGTCTTCAAATCTTGGAAACCAAGTCCAGTGGATATTTTTTGAACTTTTACGGAATCAGTTGTAGAAAATTATGGCAAATCCACACATTGATCTGATCTGAGCATCTAACCAAATCTGATGGGTAACTAGTTACATTTACTTAGTTAAATGTGCTTGAATAATTTTGTGATAAGAATGTACTTTTAGTAGTAGCTTTACAGCATTGTACTTTTGCCTTTTATTTAAGTAAACATATGAGGGAAAAATCACCACTCCTGAGTGAAATTTCTCCAAATTATCTCCACCATTGCGAGTAACTTCACTTAACGAAAACCAGCATGTTTTTAACAAATATGCGCCATTGAGAGACACTTTATTTGTTGCACTCAAGGCTTGTTTGATAAATCTCCCCCCCCCCGTCTGCTGTGGAAGTTGAGTGAAAATGCGGTAAACGGTATAGTGTAATTTAACCTATATTATAACTAATGATTTTGTAAGTTTTATAACTATAATCATGGGTAGTAAGTAGATCAGTAGCCTTTTTACAAAATACTTTTTTACTCTTACTTTAGTAATTTCTTTAAAGGTTACTTTTTAACTTCTAAACGTATGATGAAATAGTGCTACTTTTACTAAAATACAGTTTATGGGTACTCTTATCCCACTCTGTTAAAAATCTCCTGTCCCCACTGGATGATGGAGTATGACCTATATTTGAAGAAGGATCGATATAAATGAATTGTTCTTATTAAGTGCATCTATCAGATTTACTCATGAGGTTGTTTCTTTCTGTCCCATGTGGAACACGAATATAAAACCAAAAGTTTGAGGACATTTAAAACGTGACGCTTAGATAAAGCGTGAAAATCCAATATTTACAGTCCAATACAAGCAGCCAAAATGATCAACTGCAGAAATAGTATTATATTATGTCGAATATAATTAATAAGCTGTTAGGATATTCCTTTTTTGTTTGTCAAAATTTGTGCATTTAAAGTTTAAGATCAAATATATTTCAATAAGGGGAAGAAAAAAAATACGGCAGAGCGAGTCAGCGCCGCAGGTGCAGTGTTGCCAACTCAGCGACTTTTCAGACCCCTCCAGCGACTATTTTTCAAAAAAGCGACTAGCGACAAATCTGGCGACTTTTTACGGTGTCACTGGTGGCTTTTGGAGACTCTTACATGAAAGCATGTAACGTTCCTACTCTGCCGTGAGGCGCCTCCCCCATCCCAACCCCGTTCTCCCGCAGGAGTCCCTCTCAGCACTGCAGTCAGAGCCGCAGGATGTTTACCCTCAGCGTCCTGACTGCAAATGAAGCGCGCATGCGCCGGGATTGACGGCGCAAATTGATCACAATAATTAAAATAGCCTGCGCAGTCGTAACATGCAACTTTTGTCAAAACAAATTAACATGGCACGGAACCACCATGTTTGTTTCGTTTTAAAGTGGGGAAACGTAACGTTAGTTTCTCAGGTAGCTCATCTGATGCTTTCCTTACCGTGTTAGTAGGTTACAGACAGTGATAAGGTTGGCTACTTATTTTACTTTTAATTTCATTTGAATTAGCTTAAGCAGCGTTTATATTTTCTTTATAAATAAATTAACTTGCAAATTATGAGGACAAAGCTTTTAAAGTTTAAATCTTCTGGCAAAGATAAAGTAAAGAAGATC